TTACAAACAATTAATATAAACTCACCTTTCATCCTCAGTGTCTACATCATCAGTGGTTCTTTCAGGCTCTGGTGTGTTCTTGAAAATACCAGAAAATGAAAAACCAGCCTTCTTCTCCTTCCTATCAAGAAAAATATACGTAATCGCAAATGCAGTTTTATCCTTCTCAATATTCGGCCAAATAAAATAAGTTGTTTGTTGGCCCTTCTTTTTTTTTTTTTAATGTTTTTTTTAAAATTAATTAATTAAATAATTTTTTTTTAAATACTCATCAGATGGAATAAAAATAACCCACAGAGGCCTAGAATGGCAGTATCTTTCATCAGACAACAACTTTATACTAATTTGTAGGGCATCTGGCAAAAAATAAAAATAAATTCACTAACATTTTTTTTTATTTTTGAAGAAAAAAGCTAAAAAAAACTTTTTGAAGTCTTTTTTGTTTTTCCGCCCCTATTTTTTTCCCAGTGAATTAGGGACGGGTGAAGGAGGGCAAACAAACAATTTTTTTTTTTGCCTTATTATAATGTGCAGACTTAAGATATTATAATAAGGCAAAAAATAAATAAATAAAATAAATTTATTTTTATTTTTTGCCAGTGATTGCCTGGCTTTAAGGATCTTGCAAGGTTATAAACCAAACCCAAACTAACATGATTAAATATAAATTATCCAGGCAATTATATAATAATTTAATCATGTTAGTTTGGGTTTGGTTTATAACCTTGCAAGATCCTTAAAGCACATATAGGCAACTCTACTGTATCATGTCCTACATATTATTTAACTGATGACTTTGCAAGCAAAATTCAAACATGTGAAAATAAAATAGTAAAAGGAATTAAAGAAGACATCTTACTCTTCAGATGCGTTTTGAATTGGTGTTGGAGAAGGAACAAGGAATCTATACACAGCTTCACTATGCTTCAAAGTGTCATCTTTAAGAATAGACTTCACAAAAAGAAAAAAAAATAAAATTGGTAAATATCAACAAACACAAAAGTACAATAAGCATATGAATTACTAATTCATTTTGAAGGAAATAAACAAGCCGTTAAATATAATACATTTTGAAAAATAATACCTAAGAGAAATAACTATATGAATATTTATGAAAATCAAGATAATATATGCATCCATAAGAAAATAAATGTATATTCATAGCAAGTGTAATAAATAAGGAAATAAAAAATTTAATAAAATAATTAAATAATGTAATAAATCAATCAACCTACAAGTATTTATATAGACCAATACCTAAGACAGAGAACACAGTTGCAAAATGACATTTTATTTTAAGTATTATTTTAATATGGATTTAAGATGGATTTGAAAATCCATCTTGACTCTCAACAATTCAAAATTTCTGAAATATGTAGACATTTTGAAATTGTTCCCCGTCCATTTTAAACCTCCCCTCTCCCGCTTAAATAATTCTTGAATCGTCCGTGGAACCAGACAACATAACTTGAACCTTATGAACCACTTACGGTCAGGTAGTCTTGTAGTTGGGCTTTGCTTGTTTCTAAGAACTCCTTGTCAAGATTTTTGAAAGGTCGTCTGCTCATCTGCGGAAGTTCAAGTTTTGCCAGTAACTTGCTGCACTATATGAAATATGATAATAAAATTAATATAAAAAATAATAAAAATATTAATAATAAAGGAAATTTTGCTTAAAAGAGAACTAGCAAAATGATGTTTTGTTCTAGAGAGGATTTTTGATATGCCATTAATAATTAATCAACCTTAAAATCGTTCTTTGGCTATTTTTTAATGAAGTTATAGGCGATTACATACGATTTTACCATGACGTCACTGGCGAAAAAGTGAACGACTTACGGTCCCTGCGTACTCACATCTTTAATCCTTTTATGCAGGGTATGGAAGTCGTTGAGTCGTCTGGAGACCACCCAGCCATGTATGGGAATATTAGGGTCAATCGGATGTACCACTATCACATAGTACGGCAGATTCTTCTCACCATCCTCCATTTGCTGTGAAAAGAAGGAACATGTTTCAGTTGAGCGTGTGTGGTTAAAAAAGTTTGCAAAACAAGGTATAAAAAAAGCCTCACCAGCATTCTTTGTAGGAAAAATTCAAAATTGAGTTTTTTGGTGTTTTTAAATTCAGCAATAGGCTTCTGTAAAACAGTGTTTATTTGATGAAAATTGGTTCAGTATTACCAAAGTTATGAATAATTATTTCATTAGATTTGTATTTTTAAAATAATTTTAATATACTTTTCAGTTAGATTTAGTGATTAATGTTTTATAGGAATGTTCTTCAATATATCATCTTTATAAAATGCAAAAACATGAAAATTTTAAAAATTCAGATTCTTAAATGTTTTAGAAATTGTGACAAAGAGGTGGTTTTGCCAGAGACGGTAATATATCCTGCCGTAATTCAAGTGGGGGGGGGGGGAATGCATTATATATTTTTGACTCAAGGGCATCCTATAGATGAAAACTATTATGTGAATTGATATTCATATACCACCAAAAGTTTAGATATGGAACTTGGAGAGTTACGCATTATATCCATCCACCAAAGCCAAAAAAAAAATGGAAGAAAGCATTATATCCACCAAGCATTGAAAAGTTGGCAATCAACCAATCACAGAAGCCAATAGTGTACTGCCATTTTAGAAATGCAGATTTGACATTGAAACCAGAAAACCTGGACAGTTGTCAAGAAGACTACAGGAATAGTTTGCAAAGTGTGTACTCATAATCAAAATATAAATTCATACTTTTAATTGGTCGAATGATACAGTGACAAGGATATGTGGGCAGTCCATACTACATAGGTTAAAGTTCATGACCACTGACAATATTTATTTAGCATTGTCTTTGTTTTGTTTTCTTTTTTTGGAAGAACTCCAGGTGGTTCCTCTATGATCAAAGATCAAAGCATGAAAGGGGGGTAAATCCCCTTAATCATGTTATTGCGCAAACACTGATCCATGAGGAAAACATGATGGGTTATCCGTATGGAAAAAGGGACTTCACATTGTTTGAAATATTTCTTATGTTGAAATCATGCCACATTTTGACTTGGGGAAGTCAGGAGGCAAGACATTGTGAAGCAAGTGCTGTTGTAGATTCAAATCAAACAAATTAAGTGAAAGCTAGCTTGCAAAGTAAGTAAAGTACAGGGTTGTATCTAATGAAAACTAAGTGTTGGGATAGGTATTTTGAGGGTGGGTGTGTGATAACATTGGTAAACTCTAAATAATATTAGTGGATTTTAAGGATGGAAAAATGGGTTAATAAGGGTGGGTGGAAGGCCATGAATATAGCTTTAGACTGAGTTGAAAACTTCAAGTCTGGGTGGCCCCGCCCACCTCCGCCCACTATAACTACATCCAGATTCAGATTTAACAAAAGAAATATCCCGGCAGTATCAAAATGATTGATGATATATTTCAGGATGTTGAAAATCAGATATTAGGGTCAATATTTCAAACTCTTTAAACTTTAATTTTTTAATCTTATTTCTTGAGGCACTCACATACAAGGATTGCCATAGAGAATATATCACTGTCCTAGTTGTACAGTAGGTGACAATTAAGCTTACACTGGGCAGCAAGAAGATTTGTACTTTTTTCTTTTTTCTTTTTTTTAGATCAAATTTCAAAATGGCAAGCATTCTGCTGAAGGAAATTATTGTTCTTGGAATTGCTATCGTCTTAATCACGAAGGCAACAAGCCAAATTACTACTCAACAGCCAAGACTTGATACGAATCTACAGCCAATACTTGATACGACACAACAGCCAGAGCTTGATACGACTCAACAGCCAGGATTCGACACAACAATAACAACTAAACAACAACAGCTTGGTATAAGCAATACCTGCAGTGTTCCTGGAGTGCCAGGTGTTCCCGGATCTCCAGGTGTTCCTGGCATCCATGGATCCAAAGGAGAAAAGGGTGATAGTGGCCCAGAAGGTCCAATTGGTCCACCTGGCTCGACAGGCTTGACCGGTGCTACTGGATCTCAAGGTCCAATGGGACTACCTGGTATTGATGGCTCTGATGGGATAGGTTTAACTGGTGATGTAGGTCCAAAGGGAGAAAAAGGGGATCATGGTATGATTGGTAATACAGGCCCACAAGGTCCAATGGGTCACCCAGGTCACAATGGCTCAAATGGAATAGGCATACCTGGTGAACCAGGCCTAATGGGACAAAAAGGTGAGCCCGGGATGCCTGGTACTATAGGCCCAGAAGGCTTAAGAGGCCTTCCGGGTTTCAATGGTACAGATGGAATAGGTCTTCCAGGTAGCGTAGGCCCAAGGGGACAAAAGGGTGAACCGGGCATGACCGGTATTATCGGCCTACCAGGTCCAACTGGTCCACCTGGCCCACCTGGCCCAGTTGGTCCTCAAGGTCCTGTTGGATCACAAGGTCCCACAGGCACTAAAGCGGAATTTGTACAAGGTAGCATTGGACCGATTGGACCAACTGGACCAATGGGACCAAAAGGCGAACGAGGGTTCATGGGTCCACCGGGACCAAAAGGAGACACAAGCGGAAGCTCTGATATTAAGAAATCCGCATTTTCGGTAGTTCTCACAAATTTTAGAGGCAAAATATCCACAACAAAATCCGTCAAATATAACGTTATAATAAGTAACGTTGGAAACGACTACAACAAGGACACTGGAACATTCACGGTTCGTATTCCCGGAACGTATGTATTCTCATTTGTGGCAATGAAGACAGCAAAGATCAATGAAGAAGCCGGCCTATACCTAATGTTGAACGGAGTATATCAATTGGGGACACGCAGCGACGGTGCAAGTCCCTACTCTACATCTACGAACATCGGAATACTGAATCTAAACGTCGGGGATGAAGTTTGGATTCAACCATTCAAAAGCTTTCTTTATAGCGATAACAGCAGGTACCCTAGTTTCTCGGGATTTCTACTTTATCCTGATGAATAATGCAAGAATTGGAAAGATTGCAAAAAACCTTGAAATGTGACTTAACAGAAACGCTGGTACATGCATTGTATACCTTTCTAGCACTGCTATATTTGTTGTAATGGTTATAAAAAAAAACTTGATACGAGAATTGGAACAATTATCAAATTCTGCCACAAGCCTTTAGAACTTACTATTTCTACAGTAATATAACACCTGATAGATCAACAATCATCATCAATATTAAGCTATGGCTGAAATTAAACTATAAAGGGCATTTGAGAAATGTACATATTCTTCTTAGCCCTTCTGTATTCAAAAATTATTCACAAACTTTCTATACTAATTCTACTTTGATCCAGAACATTAAATTACGCTCACATTTTTTGATATAATAAATAGACAGTCGGCCTTGTAAGTGCCCAAGGTCGGGTAATCCGCTAATGGATTTTACATTACATTGACACTGAGGCAAGATTTAAAAGATATATTTAACACATTTTCAATATGGTTTTATGTTATGTTATATTATGATTGTGTGTAGATAAAAAAATAAAAATCATAAAATTATTTTTTTTACTGTTGGATTGTAATTAAATTATATCCATTTATTCAATAGCTTTTTTTCACAAACAAATATTGGTATTAAATAGTAGTTTAAATATGTCTATCTAATTAAGCTTAAAAAATTGCAAACAGATAAAGTTTGTTAGTTAAATTTATTGTAATAATATGCTTTTGTTAGTTACAACATACATCATTAACAAGACTGCAACAGAAACTGCAGGACTCTGTATACAGTAATGCAATTTTTGAATAAAGTTAAAATATATAATATGTCTATTTGTTTTATACGGTGTACAGTGAGCCAACCAGGTACCCACTTACACACCTAATTGGAGAAAGAGGCAACATAGATAAAGTGGCTTGAGTGAGGACACAAACAAATGATCATCTTGAGATTTGAACCCAGGATATTTTGACCAGTAGCCTGGAGGCCTCCCACTGCACCACAAAAATAACAATGGTCAATGGTTATGCAATTTTTAATGGTTATAGCACCTTTTACAATAAACTTGTCTCCAGGTGCATTTAACCCTTCACAGTCATATGGCGTTGCGACAACACCCTCTTTGACAATACCTTATAGCGAGGGGCGTCGTACATATGCCCTGTATAGATTTCATGATAATTATTTTATGGCTTGCCTGCCTTCTATAGGATTGCTTGTTTTAAGTGTGATGTAGGAGTATTCCTGTAGAGGGCCTCCTGTATTCAGACAAAATAAAATGCCTGCACCCAGTAAAAACCCAACATTTAGTGTAGATAATGTAATTTCCCAGCTTTGGTAAAGCCTCAGACAATGGTAATGGGGCAGACTGGAAAGGGTTAAGCCACTAAAAAATGCCCAAAAAAAGCACTGCTAGGCTGGCGGCACCACCTCATATGGGGAAGCGCGACTAGTCAGGTGAGAAAAATAAAGACACTTACTTCAGCATTGCATATATCAGTTCTCCACTTTCCAATGTGTTCACACCAGAGGTCGGTTCGTTCGATGTACAACTCAAGTTGACGCCGTTCCACTTTCAGCATCTCAATCTCGCGTTCCAGTGTTTGCTGCATCTGAATTAAAATTAATAATTTAATAAAATACAGCAAATAAAATATTAATAACAACAAAAACTACCACAAAGAAATGTCAACATCAATATCTCAACATACCTTGGCATCAGGGTTGGCAGATGTCTTAATGTTGCTAAGAGCGGTCACCTTATTCTCCATTTTCTCTTCACACTGTTGAAGCTTCCGAAGAATGGCGTTGGTTTGTTCAGCGATGCTTACAGATGAACTCTCCAACTCATCAGCCATGGGGCTCGGTTGCACCTAGAAAGAAGTTAAGGTGAAAATTTTATCTATGAATATTCTAAGCAAAAGCTTGTCTGACAGCACCATGCAGTGACATGCACCATTCAACTAACATACGATGGTTTCAATCTGGGGATGCAAAAATTGGGAATATGGAACTAAATTTCTATGTAACCTTAATAGTCATTTTTACTATTTAATGGAACTAATGTGTTAGGACATGTCATGTACGTGGAAATAGGCATGCCAGACAGACAGATAGTGCATTAGGTCGTATACTAGCGATACTGGTCTGCAACCCACAGCCTATGCCCACTGTACTAACTGTGACAACCTAGTCAACAGAGAATGAGCATTTAAATTCACAAGTTACAACTTCCCACACCCCAAAAAAAACATGATTATCAGAAAACGATGTCAACACAACTCACCATAGTATTATAACGTTGCCTGAGTTCCTCATCTGAAGCGGATCGTTGCTTGGACAGTCGTTCCTGATACACACGCGAGGACAGTTGGCAGAATTGCGCGTAATATTCACTCACGAGGAACGACGGGTAGTAATCTTCATCTAATAATTCATATACCTTTGTTTGAGCATCATAGAAAGCCTCCGGTCCCTACAAGATCAAATTTGAGACGATACAGTAATTAGATGATGTGAATTAGATAAATGGTGATGACATTAAAATAAATAGTGGTAACATTAGATAAATGATGATAAAATAATATAATGAATGACAAAATCAGACATATGTTAATGAAATTAAATTGATATATGATGAAATTAGATAAATAATACTAAGAGAAAAAAAAACAAAAATTAATTACAAAGCTCTTTAAGTCTTGACTAGCCAGTACCTGTACTTCTTTCTGAATTATTATCATATTTGTTTTTTCTTTTTCCAACTTATATAACAATCGAGTGTTTGTAAATAGTCAGGCCCTTATTGAAAAACAATATATTTCATTTAAAGGTTTTTGTATGTTGTACATTGAATATATCCTAAATAAATATTTTGCAAATAAAAAAAATAAAATCATTAATTCAATAGACCGAATTAGTCACCAAAGATGACGTCATCAAAATTTGGCCGATTGGGTATTAAAAGTTGTTTACACAGTAAAGTCCTATGTTAACGCATTGAGTGGAGACGAAAGTGGTGTCTATTAAATCGTCTAAAATGTAATGAAGTTACTGTAGCGTAGAAGATACTTTTTATAACAATGTACATATTTTGAATGATTCAGAGATTTATGAGATTAAAGATTGACTTGATTTAAATTGCCATTCAGACTAAAAATATAGAGAATTTTGAGAGGGCTTCTAGGGGGCCTAGGCCTGTCACTCGCGAGGCTCACCACATCCAGCGCTGACTAAGGTGATCGCTGTTGATTAGAGGTACATATTCAGCTTAAATACTGTCACCAAGTCATTTTGTTGTAATTTCTGTATGAAATATTTAAACTATTGGACAAACCTAAATTGCTGAATTGTAGAATAAGATGTTTCTTTTGACTACGATTGCAAGTGAGTCAGAAGAACGTTATTTGTATGACTCTTTAGTCTAGGCCTAGGCCCGTTTTCATGTGAGGCGGCTTTGCAAAAATTTTCAAGTTTTCCATTTGTTTCTTTCACTCCATTTCAAATCTATCGGGTCAATACTGTGATGAGAAATATTTACCAAAGCTTTTCAATAAGTTATTTTACGATAAAATGCACAAATAAATAAGTTTGAGGAGTTTAAAGACTGTCACAATATACTCGAGCGGCGGCTTAATATTGTGTGAATATTTGTTTTGATGTTATACCAACTATAACGGCTTTGGTTTGGTGACTAATTCGGTGTATTCAATTCAATTTAGTTTTATTGTCCAATTTTAAAAAGGAAAAGCAGAGCGGGAACAATTAGGGCCAAGTTATGTAAATGTCAGGCACTTTGCACTGCACCTTTTCCTTTTTGATACATGACCCTTTATCCAGAAAGAAGAGCCTGTGAATACTTGTTTATAGAGTATTAATATTATACTAAATACTAACAAAGTCTCAAAATAATTCTTTGGGAATGGAGTTTTTCATCTTGAGAAAACATACTGTTATCACAAGCACTGAACCCGTGACCTTGGGACTAAGGCAAGCATCTTTTTCAAAATATTTAAAAAAAAATTAGAATCAGGTCAGTAGTCAAGAAGGTTATTTTGATTGAAGATATACCAGAAGCAGATTTAAAGGATTTGGGAAAAATACAACTGATGCCTTAGATTTAAACTCTTCTGTAACATATGTTTTGTTAATTCATGTTTTCTTTTATGGTATGTACTGATTGCATTATGACTTTTCTAAAAGTCATATTGGCTAAATAAAGAATGAATTAGTCAATCAATCAATCAATGGATAGATGAATAAATGACTGAATTAATGATTACATGAATGAACATATAAATATGTGAATAACTGAATGAATTAATGAATGAATAAATGACCAACAACAGTACATTTAACAAATCTTTATAATATTATTATCAAAATACCCTGTATGAAAATATTAAATAAGTGATGATGAAACTTAATAAATGATACATAAATAATATAAGATAAATGGTGATAAATATAAGATAACAATATTGCCGCAGATTCACCACCAGCAAAATAAAAAATAAGTAAGATTAGCGAAGATTATCAATATGTATCAATATATATTAATAAAGGATGTAATTAATAAAGGCAAGTCAAGACTTTTTTAATACCGTGATTAGCAAACTTATTTCTTTTAAATCGTCAAGAGGGCAGGAAAAAATTTCACTGAAGTGAAGAGCAAGGTTTTAGCCAGAAAAACGAAACAGGCTGTCTAAAATGGAAGCCAGTGGGCGTGGCACTGAGCCGATGGGCGAGCCACACCCATCTTTGGGAATCCCCGCCAAATATTGGTATGAAAACAATGTATATTCAATCAATAAATGTTGCTTTTATCAAATGTAAATATGATTTACCTTTAGCTTAATGTAACATTTGATAGATTTGAAGAATTTGCTAAAGGTAGAGCAGGCCCAATTTGGCTAGGCCAAGCTTATTAGGCCAAGCCGTCCAAGCCGTCTCAGTAAAAGTGGCCGTTCTAAATAATTGTAGGCCATCTAAAAGACGGCCGGACAGCTCGCTGGTTTCATTAAAATTGCTACAATGTTTACACAGTGGAATTGTTGTACTGCGTAGCAGTCACCGACACATTTGGGAAATGGCTCCCCAATTCAACTGACCAATCAGCATCACCGAAAGCTGTCGACGATAGCGTGTAGAGATTGTATGGAAACCAAGCTTTAATTTAAAATTTCCATTTTTTTTGTGGCAGAGGATGCACTAATAAGCAAAAAAAAAAAAAAATTATGTTTATTCAAAATTACCTTTATACCGGGAGTTGGCGGGTTTGCTAAATATGGTATGAAAGAAGTCTCGCCTAATTGATTATGCGATAAGTAAATGATACAAAAAAGATAAAAATGATAATGCAACATAAGTGATGGAAGACAAAATACCTGTACAAGATACATGTCTTTATTGTCATAAGCAAATGATGAGGCAAATGAAACATATTGATCTCGGACATGCAGCTACGGAATATGAAAAACAATAAAGAAAAAAATACAATAATAGACAACATGGAATGCCAAACAAAAATGAAAGAAATCAAACATCCTGTCTCTTATACACATCTAGATGTGTATAAGAGACAGCGGTGGTATGTGCCTCCATCTTGCTACTAAATTTTAAAAATTTCAATGCAAACCAATGTTATGTGCTACTCACTCACCTATTCTGAAACTGTTGTGCCCCCACCCCATTTGAAAAATCCTGGATCCGCCCCTGAAAAGGTAGTTGTGAATATTGGATTGCCTTGAGTGTTCTGAACTGCACTACTGTTGGCAACAAGATAGATAAGTTATGAAATATACTGTACCTTAAAACTTCTGACTGAAACCCTGTATCACTATTCAATTGTTTAGTATTTAGGGTGGGTTTCAAATTATTATTACTATTATTAAAAATGTCTTACTTTATTTCCAACCAGATATGCCTGCATTTGCTTAACTAGCGCTTTATCAACTTTCACAGCACTGGTTGTAGCAACGTAAGTCTGATACAAGTCGTTAGCAACCTTGTGTTGATCCTTCTGAAAATCAAAATTGCATTAAGATATTTAAAATCCAAAATTTCTAAGTCACAGACAGTTTTGTTACACAAATATGTTTTGATTAATTTAAAGCCTGGTTCTCATGAGAGCCATAGTATCCGAATCGGGAGCTAACCGCTAGTGCTAACCGTTAACATCTGTGTGAGAACGCCCGATCGGTTAGCGCTAACCGTTAACATCTATGTGAGAACGCCCGATCGGTTAGCGCTAACCGTTAACATCTGTGTGAGAACGCCCGATCGGTTATCGCTATCTGCCAGCACTATCAGTTAGCAAGTTGAGCGTGTTTCTATCATCAACCAATCACACATACGCATTTCTTAATGGCCAGTGATTCGATCATCATAATCTTGGTTATCTGGATCGGAATTTTTTCATATGGACGCACAGCAGGTAATGGTTAGCAGGATCCGGATCTTGCTAAGCGTTAGCTGCTGTGTGAGAACATAGGCTAAAAAAAATTCGAAGAGATTGACAGAGGAGATAAGTTTATTCCACATACGGTATTTAAAACATATTTATTTTGATAATGAAGAACACAATGATGTTGTTCATGATGATGATGATAATGACAGCAACAAAAACAGTGGTCACATATGTAAGGTCTCATGTCCACAAAATGAGAAAATCAGCTACAAAAACTAAACTAAACTGTACAAATAATTGGACCTGATTTACATAACATGCATGGAGTAAAAATTCACAAAGTATGCAAATCATAAAATTTAAGTATCAAATTTTAAAAACCAATAAAATCAAACTATTTTTTTTTTTTAATTTGACTTTGACCTATTTCGGTGAATAGACCTATCTCAGTATGATTTCACCAACAATGCGTCTCATTTTGTGATGGTGAGACCTCACATATTAAAACAACTTTTAGTCATAGTACGAGTCATGAGTCATAACTTCAACTAGTATAGTCCCATGTGCAACTTTAATTAACAATAATGTAATCAAAGTTACAAATCTGTAGTTCCTAGTTGTAGTTCAGCAGAAGACGGTTGGCAAGCTACGGCTATCAGACTAACCAGTGTCAAGAGATTATTTCAAAAGCTGACAAACGTTCAGCAATCTATTAATATATTCTTACCTTTTTTGTATTTTTAAGCTTTTCAACTGCTTTCCAGAAGCTGTTGAATAAAAAATAATTAACTCTATTAGCATTCATTAATAGTAGCATACTCTAGATTAGCCAAGTGTCAACCAATTAGGTTAATTTCACACGTTTGAGATGCAAGGACGTCAGATCGCCCAAAGCTAGCTGTACAGCAAGCGCATGTTTACAACTTCAACCATTTAAAATACATACGCAATACGTACTGCAATTACCGCTCGAGTCAGATGCATGAGCACAAAATAGTAACCATAAAAACAGTTCATACTAACACACATGTTAATTCTTTCATGTACCGTTAGTGCAATCTTATTTAGGCCTAGGCTAGCCAAGGCGACCTACGTTTTTAGCTTTCGTGTTTTCTTTCAAGATTTGAATGCTCTTATTTAGATTTATTTTACGTGTCAAACAATCTATTAAGCATCTTGAGTGCACCGAGGCCAAGGCTGCAAAAGGGCAGGCAAGTAGTGGCCGTCGTCGTGCTTCATTTTCAGGGGCACCAAGGCCAACTGGGAGGACACCATCGGCAATGGCCGCAGTAAAGTTTGAGGCCTTCTGTGATAATAATTTGTTGAAATAAATATGAAATCACATATGTCCCAAAAACCTACTTCAACAGGTCATCCTTTCCTTCCTTTTGAAGAAACTTGTTGAAATATTCCAATGCTTGTTTGTCCTGGAATATCTCCTCCAGTAATATGACCATCATTGGTCCCACGCCATCCTCCTCGTCCCGGTTGCGGAAATACATCTGATACTCGGGGCCCCCAACTTGCCTGATACGCCGTTCACAGTGAGCTTTTGCAAAGCGACACTTTCCAAGAAAGATAACAATTATACAAATTATTCAATATATTTATTATGTTTATTGTATTAGTCATATTTTCATTATAATTATTATATTTATTTACAAAGTACAATATATATTATTTTTATTACAAGTACTTGATATCCCTAACAGTGGCGTAAAGATGAGTCAAAGGACAGGGGTGGGGGTGGGGGGTGGGGGGTGGGTGGGGGAAGTATGTTAGAGTGTATCAGAGGGGCCCCTTCAAAGCAGAATATCAACAATACTGCAGCTTTGACTTAAACTTCTGTAAATTTTAGTAGCCACTTTTTTTTGGATAATTTCAGTGTGTATGGTGGACTTTAGCTGTTGAACACTTTGGGTCGGGAATTGATATAGGCCTAGTGTAACAGAAGTGTTGTCATGCGAGTCAACATAGGACGTAAATGAGTTAAAAAACCAGAAACTACATTGAATTTTGCTAATTTTTTGGCATCTTCTACTGAACTGTAATGTCAATGCTCTGTTAGAAAAGTATTTTGTATTGTGAGGAGCCCCTAACTGTATTTTTATAAAGTCCCCTTTGGACTGTGGGGCCCAGGTTTTTACCCCCCTAGAGCCCATATGCATTACACTAGATTCCTCACTCACCTGGTTGAGGTACCTTTTCAGATTACGTGCCTTCAACAGCTCTCCTTTACCAGCTCCCTTTGATGTCCTTGTTCCCACTTCTAATCCCTTTGCCTTCTTCATATTTTGAATGTTGGTTGCTTGCATAATTTCAGTTAAAATGTGATACCTAAAAAAATAAGAAATCATCATCAATTATTAGCCAATCAATTAATCATTATTATTATTAACATTTCAATTATTATTTTTCTCATTTTCATCATTATTATTTTTATAATTAAGAAGATTAACTTCCTTTTTTGTCACTTTAATATCTATTTACCAAATTTTATATTCAAATATTTATATCTTAACATAGTTAATCATTGGAAAAATGAGAGACTGGTGAAGAAAAAAGTGAAGAATTGCAATGACCACATATCTGGGCAAGAAATGCCAATGACAAAATGAAAGAAATCAAACATCATATTAACATACTCTACATAGTATTAGATTGACTATTTTGAATAATTAATTCATAAATATATGCATAAATTAAAAACAAGGAACCTGATTTGTTGAAGGTCTTGGGTGTCATGGCAGCTATTGATCTGCTTTAAATTTAAAATACATTGACTATTTTGAATAATTTATTCATGAATGTATGCATAAATTAAAAATAAGGACCTGATTTGTTGAAGTTCTTGGGTGTCATGGCAACTGTTGATCAGCTTTATGAAATCCTCATAGGTTGCAGAGTACATGTAGTTGCGATTGTGTTTCTTTGCCAACTGCTCTGTGTATTCCAAGTGTATTAAGAGAGTGTTGTTCACATAGCTGGGACTGCATAGTGTATCAATAGCTGGCTTAATGACTAAAACCAAAAAGAAAATAATATTTTCAATAGACCTGGTAAACTAAAGATTCCTGCAGAGAATAAACAAGGTTAACTCACTTGCACTGTTCAGTTCACCTAGTAAACTAACCCATGTAACATCAACTACGTTTAAGTTAACCAGGTTAACTCACATCATTAAGTTCACTTGGTTAAGTAATAGTGCTGATCACCTTTATTTAATAGACCGGGTAAACTAAAAATTCCTGCAAAGAATAAACAAGGCTAGGCGAGACTTTTTATATTCTTTGTTTAGCGCACTTATTTTTTTTTTAAATCATTGGAGGAAGGCGGAATAAAAATAAAATAAAATTAAAGATAACATTTTGTTTCCTTATATAGCAAATAGTTTTGCTAATAACATCCAGACGGATTTTATTAGTGAATGTAAAATGGAATGGGTAAATGCTTCAAATTTATATAATTAGGAAGAAATATGTGCAAAGACAAGCCAAACCAGTCACTCATCGCAAATCCTGTTTCAGAGATAATGGCCAAAACATTTTATTACACTAAACTAACTTTCATATATTTATATATCATGCTATGATGTTATTTTCCTCATTTTCAATGTTAAAGCTAACATTTTTAACTACTTACTTATGGTTTCTTCCAGAGAAATAACCAAAATCATAAACTTTGGTGACTGATTTCTCAAATATTGTTCTTTAAACAGCTCTATGTTTAAACTCCTGTAGTTCATAATGAAATGTCGGATTTAAATGATTCTTTCACGATTTTATTGCTCTCATTTTACTGTTTAACCATGAATTAACAACTAAAAATCAATTTTTGCAAAGAGTGACTGGTTTGGCTTGTCTTTGCCACATATACATATCTTATCAGATCTTTGGAGATTTCAAAGCGGCGGAGGGTGTAATAAAAAAAAAAATTTTAATTTTATTTTTTTTTCTGAAATTTCCATTAAAATATTATTTTTATTAAAAATCATCAATATTTGCAAACAGCAGGTTCGTTAAACAAGGTATAAAAAATCTTGCCTTAACTCACTTGCACTGTTCAGTTAACCTAGTTAATTAACCCATGCAACATCAACTACATATAAGTTAACCAGGTTAACACACATCATTCACTTGGTTAAGTAATATGTGCTGATTACCTGTATTTGAACTAGAAATTCTCCTTTTACGCTGCGCAGTAAATGCATAAGCCTCTCACGGTGTGATGTTTCTCTTGAGAATCGGTAAGTACGAGTTTGAAAACAATCAGACTTACCAAACTTTAATTATTGTGGTAACAAACAATTTACTATAACAGCGACAATGACAACAACATGAAAAAATATTACAATTTCAAACAAATTAGAAATTTTCTTTGGGAATTATGATAGTATGTAGCGTAAATTTCCTGATTAGTGAATTATTCTTGGATTCTGCCAAGTTTGAAACCTATCAGACTTGCCAAAAACTTTAGTTATCGTGGTAACAGACAAATGACCAACCACGACAGTGACAATGGCATAATGTGTAGATCAATTTCAATAAACCAGGTTATATAACCTGAGCTGCTCTACCTACCTAAATGTAGTTCAGTTTTGCATATTCTACATGTGTCTTGGACGATGAGGAATTCATGTTTTTATACAATACAAATAAACCCAAAAATGTCGAATTGTGGTACCAAGATTATCAGAAATTTGATCTAGACAAGTACAACAATGATGAATGTAATGCATACTTCAGAGCGCATCCAGTGCGTCAACTGCGATGCAAGTTTGCATTGCATGCACACTGGCGTAAGCACGCTCATGAACTTCCACAGCCTTTTTGTGTTTACGAAGGCAGTAGAAATTACATAACTGCCTGTGCATTAAAAAGCAAATAATACAGATTAATTCAACACAAGTTAGAAACTTCCCCCAGACTCTGTCTCTGCCTCAGTTGGACGGCAGCGTTGCCACTATATTTTCATCTTCCATCTTTAAACTTCACAAGCGAGCACGGCGTCCTAGATTTAGGACGACAGGAAAAACGAGGTGAACACGTTCTCGATTTTTGTAGTGGACGAGGGAGACGACGTAACGCATGCGCAGTGCCTTAAAATGACCTCATCACGTAGCAGTCCACTATGTCGACATGTAAATCCCTAATATGAGTCCCTAATATATTAAATCACCAATTTCAATAAACCAGGTTATATAACCTGAGCTGCTCTACATACCTGCCTGTAGTTCAGTCCACCTGGTTAACTAGCATATGTAAACCCAATTTACCTGCTTTTGATTAAAACCCAGTAATTCCACCTTAGTTTACACCATCTGGTTAACTCACCTGAACATGTCACTATTTCACGTATGACATGACGTGCAGTCTCGGAGCTGGCTATCCTCTCCGGCAACAATAAAACAAGTAAAACTTCAGTTGCTTCCCGTAGGAATTCTGTCTCTGCAATGTCACTTTTTAAACAGGGATGCAACTGGAAAGGTTGTAGTTTCCCTCCACCTTCAGTGCTGTAATAACAATTTTTAAAATGTGCGTTTTTTTAATAGAAAGTTGGAACACATACAAGCATAATTTTGGGTGAGCCAAATATTAATCACTTGCTTGTTAAAAATATAAAACTACTGGCCTTTCCATTCTTACGATTGGCTGTTAAAGTGTACAGTTACCTTGGTGATGTCTCCCGAAGTTCCCTGAAGTGATCACATAATTTTTCCGTAACATCCAGGGCCATGAACCGCACCTAGATGAATGAAATCAGCTTAGTATACTCGATACTTTTGTTGTATACTATCTCTGTATGAATATGTACCAATAGACATTGTACTACTCACACTTGAGAAAATGGACTGTTCCACTACGCTCCACCCCCCCCACCTTGGATACCATTACTAAGGTCCCACAAAATTACAGCCACTTGTGGAGAAACATGGCCGAGTGTGCGGTCGTAAACATAAACATGGTTTCTTCTAAGAAATGCATGTATTCTGGCACGCCTATTGAATAACATAATTTGATTGGTCACTGGTCTGATACTCTATAAAATGCCATTGTTTCTTCCCTATTCTTGGAAACACCATTTCCCATAAACATGGTTACAGGAATAAATGGTTAATTGCAAGTTAATTACTTAAGCTGAAAAACAAGGATAGCAGTGAAATTGATCCAGAGACCCACAAGCCTTTATGGTTCAGTGA